GCAGTTTACGCTTTAAACTTTTGAGAAAACAAATTTAATATGAAATTAATTGGTACTTGGTTCCCTTATTGCTAAAACACATAACACAAACTTATTTGAAACGCTATCAGAAACAATGACCTTATCTTGAAACTCGTATCACAGCAGTACCATTTGGTTCCGATCCCAAGCATGATTTTATTAAGTTGTCCTTAGTGTCTATGAATGATGACAATTTTCCTCATTGTAACTAAATATCTTTTCGCTTTAAAGTGCACTGAATGTTCTTCTGTTTTCTTGAATAAAACAATAGGTTCATGCCTACGAGCGATCGAATCGAGTTTATGATTACAACTTAGATCCCTGTGGTCCTGTATATCTCACCGTTGGTGACGGGGGTAATCGGGAGAAGATGGCAGTTCAACATGCTGACGAACCTGGTCGTTGCCCAGAGCCATCAACTACTCCTGATCAACACCTAGGTGATGGTGCCTTTTGTGCAGAGAACTTTACCTCCGGCCCAACAGCAGGTAAATTTTGTTGGGATCGGCAACCGGATTACAGTGCTTTCAGAGAAAACAGCTTTGGCCATGGGATCCTTGAGGTACTCCTTTTTCTGTGTTTCTGTTTGGCAAATATTCAGTCTGACAATGCATTCAATTGTCTAGAAACGTTATACTTTAATTTGTATGACCCTACACTACATATGATACAACTTGAAAATGATTGATGGAAAGATGAGCATGTGCTTGACTGTCAATGTGCATAGAAAGACCACACATGGGTAAATGTTATGGAACCAGTTTAAATCATTTTTACCATTCCACTGCAATGTCAAGAGAAAATCACTTAGCACCAATATCTGTTTATACAGAGTGCGAAAATCCTGTGACTGACTTGAATACCCTTGATCGGTTATTGAGTAGCAAACATATAGATGTAGGCTAGTAGGCTACCTGGATTATACACTAAGCGTGCATTTTGATGTGCATAACTTGCAGGTGAAGAATGAGACTTGGGCTTTGTGGACATGGTACCGGAACCAGGACTCCGACAATAAAATTGGAGATCAAATTTATATAGTGAGGCAGCCTGATAAATGCCGCATCCGCCATTTGTTCGAAAGTTGGCTTGCTGACCTCTAATTCTCACTGCTGCTTGCTGGGAAAAATTTATTATTAAGATCCCAAATCAATTGACCATTCTTATCTAGATAGGAATAGGATGGAAGGTTGCAGAAAGAGTAGGAAGATGGGGTTTCACCTATGTATACACACTATATATAAGTGGAGGGGGTTTGGGGGGGTGGGGGGTGGGGGAGGGGGCGGGGAGAGAGAGAGAGAGAGCACAGAAGAAGAGCAACTCCGCTGTTGTTGTATGTAAATGATAAAATCTCGTTTATACGTCTCCTTTGTAACTTGAATATATACTCTCTCAACCAATTTATACAACAACAAACGTGTAAGATTGGTTCCTGGAGCAATTTCGGATATTGAATTCTAAACTAATTGCGTATTTTGTTGAGTTATCAAAAATTTCCCCTCCCCTTATTGTGAAGCCGAGAAATTGTTGGAAGTGACTTTTATACTGTCACATGGTGTTACCAGTTCACTGATGTTATGGTGGTACTGCTTAAAAGGGTGGCGTTTCGACAAAATCCTTAGCTCGCGAGCTCACAATGCACCCCGTCCATAAGTCATTCGGAGTTTGGACGGAACGATGAGGTTCGCTACTACCTCCGTACAAAAAACCTTCAACAACTTCCCGTTCATTGTATTCTCCATTAAATTCCAGGCCAGGGGTTCCACCTCCATCTCATAGAGATTATCATCACCTGTTGTTTCTGTGAATAATGTAAATTTCTTACCAAAACATTTGTAATATTGTGCCAATTATATTATATATTTGCAGGATGCATAGCAATTTGGTGTCAGTAAAACTTTGTCTGCCGCATATTTGATCATGTTTTAACTTCGGAATTTCATGGTCTTGTTAATTTTGACGGATTTTGAAAGGCTTTTAAAACAAATTAGAATCAAACTTTCGAATTTACTACCCCAAACAAATTGCACTGCAAATTACCATAATCAGAATTCATCAGGTCATGTACGTACTACATAACATTTACTTAGGATATGAAATGGTGAGATCGATAAATTCGAAATCATCATTATATTGTTGTTCTTATTACATTAATATAGATATATGTAGCCACTATATATACCTATTAGAGTGAATACGATACCAATGCCCCACAATTTGTTGTCCTGACACAATCGACCGGATTCGCTGCGTTGTAGTCAAAACAGATGACGACTTCCTGCAGATACGCGATCCCCCCGTCCTTCTTGCACATAAGAAGAGGTGTTTTCCCTCCTATAGTCCGTCGAATGGCCGATTCAAGGTCGATGTAATGATATTGATATCCTGGTACAATCCCAGTTGTTTGAGAAAATAGATGTTGTGCATTGTAGGTCAACCATAATCTATGAGCTTCGTGGAAGTATTGTGTCTGGGAAAATTTATTGTCCGAGCACCTGCCGTGCTTGTTGTACTCATGCGCCCAGAAATCCATATTTGTCCGTCTATTGTTGAAGCTGGGCCAGGAATTGGACAAAAGTAATTGCAGATTATGATCAGCAATCATCTGAAGCACAAAGACGAGAAGTTACAAGCATTTCAGAGAGCTGCAGGAGAAAAAAACAAACTGAAATGAGTATATATATTCAATGTGTACCTGATTTCTGTTGAATAGGGTGCCAGCGCAGAGTATAGGTGCAGATGGATCGGTAAAGTTGCTCGGCCAGAGGCCGTGTGTCGTAAAGGTATGCCGTAGAACTTGTTGGTTTCCACAAATTCCATTCCCAAGGCAGAAGACGTATTGGAAGATATCATATGGTGTGGCAGCATTGCTCTTTCCGACATAAGTGACGAAGCAAAGAGCGATGACAACGAGAACATGTTGTGCGGAAGCGTCAAATGTGAAACCAATAAACTACAACGGCAAAATATGATAAACTACAATGGCAAAATATGATAAGACAAATAATCTAAATAACACAAGGATTTATACTGGTTCGGCGTAAGCCTACGTCCAGTTCCGAGACGGCGAGGAAATTCCACTAATATCAAAAGGAGATTACAAATAGAGTTCAACACTCAAACCCAAATCCCACATACACCCAATAGCTTTCACTCATATAAAGAACAAATAGAGAAGAAGAAACACATACCAAATCCTTCTCTCCCAAAAGCCACAAAATGTAGCAATATATCTTTGAATGAATGATTGCACAAATGGAGAACAGTAAAACAGCAGCACTCAATTTTCTTCTCTATCGGCTGCTCTCTGTTTTCTGCTATATGCTGCCGCTGAGTTTCTGCTCTCTTTTTTCTGCTATCTGCTGCCGCTGAGTTTCTGCTCTCTTTACTGACCAAAAGGCATGAATTGCCTTATATAAGGCTGGTGCCTTTTAATTAAACCCTAGCTGCCATGTGGCTTTCAAATGGGTAACAAAAGGCCAAACCTATTTGGGTTTGAGACAAAAAACTAAAGGCCCAAGAAGTATTGAGCCACAAAATCCAACAGAACAATCTTGAAGAAGTGCATGGTTGTCAAGCAATTATCAAAAGAACAAAGGGAGGGAGGGAGGATGGGATGAGAAATAACAAGGAAAGCTAAAGAGTGAATGAAGTGTGAATTTTCAAAGAAATGAAGAGGTGTTTAAATAGTTAGAGTTGAGGTTAAGGGTAGGGTTTGGAGAAATTAATTAAGGTGAAGCTAACTAGCAAAGATGATAATAATTAAGGTCAAGTAAGTGTGAACAGATCCTGAACTAGGGAATGCCTCTTTCTTGTTATGCAAGGCTTTGCATTCTCATATGCATGCTATAAAGGGTGGTAACCGTGTAGTGGTTGATTCATCAACAACCCAATCAACCCAATTATAGCGGTTCCTCATATATCAGATTCAGACCCCAAGCAAGCTAATAGTCTCAATTTTTAGATTATAATTCTATTTGAGAAAGCCATTCAGGACCACGCTAGCTAAATATGGTTCCAATCGAATATAAACAGAAACGATTTGGACATTGTTTATGTATCTTATCTTGTAAATTGAAGTTTCAACCACTACCTTCTAGCAGTGGTAATTCTTATCTTTGAAATTTTGGAGCTCTCCTCTCCTCTTCATGGTTTCTATTCAACTTACTTATCCCGGTTGCAGATAATTAATTAACTTGTGGATTAAGTAAATAGCTATTTCAATTTGCTGCTACTCACCCTGGAGCTAGCCTTCGGACCGGGGAAATCATATTGTCCTATAGACACCCGCTTCGTCGCTGCAAGGCGACACCGCAGGGTGGATATCTGCGGGTACTCATCATTTCATTTCATGGTTGTATTGCTTCACATTTGCAGATTGTTAACACAACATGCCTTCTGTTTAGTTAATTCATTAATCAAACATGATCAAATATACAACATACAAATTGTTAGAATTGAGGTCAAGTGTAGAGTGTAGAGAAAGATTAAGTTGAAGCTAGCTAGCAAAGGTGATAATAATTAAGGTCAAGTGAGTGTGAACACATTCGGAATTAGGGAATGCATCTTTCTTGTTGCCCACGGCAATGCGTTCTCATGCTATAAAGGGTAGTAACTGTGTAGTGGACGATTCATCATCAACCCAATTATATAAAGTGGTTCATCATATATCAGATTCAAACCCTAAGCTAGCTAGTAGTCCAAATTTTAGATTATAATTCTGTTTCAAAAATCCATTCAGGACAACGCTAGCTAAACATGGTTCCGAACGAAAAAATACAGAAACGATTTAGGCATTGCTTGCGTATCTCATCTTGTAAAAACGTACAACTTACAATACACTTAATTTCGAACATTGTTTGAGTATCTCATCTTCTTCGTTGAAAGGCAACACCGCAGGGTGGATATCTGCGGGTAGCCATCATTTCGTTTCTTGGTTGTATTGCTTCATATACTCGTAAATTTTTATCGACTCCAAGTTTCTTAAAGACATCCATAATTTGAACAACAAAAGGATTTCATTACTTTCGATATCTACGTACACATGTACTTGTTGTTGCCTTCCGTGACCGAAACCATACTCTTCACATATACAACGGGCGAATGATTTGCTTTGCACAGTGGCAAATAATACGGTTGCGGAGGAAAAATGGGATTGATCCTTACAGCACTTTGAATGGGAAGATTTTTAAGCTTCTTAGTACGGAAGTTATAGCAGACTATGCCTCCATTTTCCTCTACTGTAAGAACCTCTTCGCTTTTCCACATTGGCAAGCCTCCATTTCCCTCTACTGTAAGAACCTCGTCGCTTTTCCACATTGCCAATGTGGAGTACAGGGGCAAGAGGGACCTTGAGAATGATGGGATCTTGGCAGCAAAGTGTTTTGTCCAAACACCACCCGCATTTTTCGGACCACCACCAGAATCATCATCCATTAGCCACATTTCAAAGGGTGGTGTATCACCATCTTCAAAGGTATTACAATTCAAGCGAAAGAGAGCGATGGATTCATTCCACACCTTAAGACGCATTTCAATACCAAATCCTTCGAAATTGTTGAACTCTACCATCTCATGTGGTAACAGTATGTCATGAAACACCTCACGACTCATGTCAAACCAAACGATCACTCGCCTAATTTTTTTCTTGCTCGGGATAGGTGACATCATAGCTATCGGCAAATTCCTTTTGTTGCTCACTTCCTATCCAATAACACATCCCCTTGAAGTACACCTGAAAAGTTTCAGGCCAAAGGAAAGTAGTTTCCGTTTCTAAAGAATAAGGCTCGATCTCCCTCCAAGAATTAGTTCCTAGGGTATACACTACTACCTTGGGAGGATGAATAATCAAATGTTCTGTGCCGCCATGCAATTCTGAACCAGAAAATCCAATTTTGACAACTTTGTAATCTTTAGATTTAGGATCATAGCCTAATCCCAAAACATCGTTGAACCGATTTGTTAGTGGCATGTAAGGCATATCCAACCACCAAGGATGAGGATCCCTAAAGGATGCTTCGTCGAACCAATCTGGACTGTATGTCTCCGAGGGAAGGACCCTGAATTCCTGAATTGCCGGATTCCACAAAAGCACCTTAGTAGAATTAGGACGAGCTAGACAAATGATCCCATCACAATGACCTATAACATGAAATGATTGATCATCTCCAATCTCCAGACTCATAGAAAGAGGAATATTGACGTCCTCGATCCCAGAAAGAGTGCTACACTTGTGCACACCACCATCGTCATCATCAACAATGACATTGTCAAAAGTAAGTACTGAGAATACGGATTGAAATTTGTCCCCATTTGGGTCCTCCGTAGAAGGGACTAACATTCGCTTCAGAAGGACACGAGTGGACTGATCGTCCAGCAAGGAATGGGAGAGGTGCTTGTCGACGAACCTGGGGTCGTTGATGAGAGCATGCCACCATTTAGCGACGCACTTGAATCGCATCAGAGATTTCGGAGGCAGAGTTGACAGAATATTCACCAACAAATCTTGTCCGATTTTGGATGTTTTGTTCGTCATTTGTGCAATGTCAATTATGGACCTCACCCTTGTTCTACGATACACACAAAGACCAACACAACAAGATCAGAAGATTCCACAATTACACATTCTCTCTAATTAAGCATATTCTCAAAAGCTCATCATCATCTGGCATTGCTATTTCTTGTTAAAAATAAAAAAAAAACTCATTGATACATTCAAAAATTTAGCCCTACTGAAAATGCCAATTGAAATTCAAAAGCGAAATAAGAATCGAAGCAAAAAAAGTATCCTTCTTTCATTTAAAAAAAAATATAAAAACTGAAATTGAATAATAAAAAGTTAGAAATGAGGTTACCTTGTTGTAGACTAGGCAGTAGGAAGAGGAAGAGACCGAAGCAGAAGCAGCGCTGTGAGTGAGAGGGAAAGGGGCAGACTCGGCGCAGAAAATGTATTTTCTGCGTTTTGTTCGTGCAGCTGCGTGCGGTAATGCGATGGCAGAGAGGGGTTTTTATTTTGATTCTTGTGCGACCGTTTTTCAACACCCTCCCAATTTTACGAACTTACCCTCCCAAATTCGGCTGCAGTTTGCTGTTCTCTTAACTTTTTAACAGATGTCTATAAACTTAACTTTTAATTTAACGGTGCTATCTTTTCAAAAGACTAATATAACAAATAAAAAGAAATAAAAGAAAAACAAAAGGTGCCTAACTCTCCACCTACCCAATTACGCTATTTAATTGGTGTTATCACTGTTTAATTTAACGATGTTATCTTTTAAGGGGATGCTGTTGTTTTTTTTTAATTTTTAATTTTTTTTAAATGTTAACACTGTTGAATTGGTATTAAGTTGAAGCATGTGTCACTAAGTTAGAAAGAAGACATGACGAAGACACTAGTTTATGGACATCAGACTCCTGGGCCTCAATTTGTAAATCAGATTAATAGTCTCCGTGGTGATAGAGTATTCGGAGGAAAGTCTATGTAGTAAAAAGATTGCCGAGCTCTTCCAGTGGCTCTACTCTAAGCCCAGCCGTGATGCCTGCTCCCTCGTTTGCAAGCGCTAGCTCGCCTTCGAGTGCCTCAGCAGCACCGCCCTTTGCATTGGCGCCACGGGTAGCCCGGACCTTGTCGTCGGCCTCCTCGCTGCAAATTCCACAACGTCCGCACGATTCACATTGACGAGCACCTTAACCTTTCATCGATGAGGCTGCATTCTGCCAATGGCTTTGACGACGACGTGCTTGATTTGAACACTACCCCAAACTTTTTTTGTTTTGAACAAATGATATTATCTACACCAGTGATGATTACAACCACCGGAGTTTATCTTTTATTGACCCTAAAAACTATTTGGGCCTAAACACCTTCCCATGTGTGCCTTTTAGCCACCAACATAATCCATCAGCTAGCTTGATTTGCCCTTCATAGTAGTTGTTTTTGTTGTTTAGTTAAGGATTTCTAGAAATCAGAAACTTTTGTTTTTTTTTTGTTCCCTCATTTCTGGCTTGTTAATACAAGCTATCGTTGCATATAAAAATAAAATAAAAAGGACGTAGCCTTATGCCAACCATATTTTTTTTTAAATTATTATTATTTGTCACATCCCAGCCCGAGCCCTCACCACATCTCGGGCTCGACTCCACTGTAGCACAATATTATTCGTTTTGGGCCCTGATCACACCCTCAAGGTTTTGTTTTTGGGAACTCACACGAGAACTTCCCAGTGGGTCACCCATCATGGGATTCCTTTTGCGCGAACTCGCTGAACTTTGGAGTTTCGATGAAACCCGAAGCCAGTGAGCTCCCAAAATGCCTCGTGCTAGGTAGAGATGAGAATATACATATAAGGCTTGCAGGATCCATTCCTTGGGCGATGTGGGATGTTACAATCCACCCCCCTTAGTGGCCCGACATCCTTGTCGGTACACTTCCGGCCAGGGATTGGTTCTGATACCAAATTGTCACATCCCGGCCTGGGCCCCCACCACCACATCCCGGGCTCAACTTCACGGTAGCACGATACTGTCCGCTTTGGGCCTCGACCACGCCCTCACGATTTTGTTTTTGGGAACGAGAACTTCCCAGTGGGTTACCCATCCTAGGATTGCTCTCGCGTGAACTCGCTTAACTTCGAAGTTCCGATAGAACCCGAAGCCAATGAGCTCCCAAAATGCCTCGTGTTAGGTAGAGATGAGAATATACATATAAGGCTTAGAGGATCCATTCCCCTGGGCGATGTGGGATGTTACATTATTAAATGGATGATTTAAAACTTTTATAATAACTTAGATGAGGAGGGATGTTTGAACTTGACACGCAAGGTAGAAATCAACTTCCAATCCACTAGGATATTGGACTACATGCATTATGCCCAACCATATACATATCAAGGATTGGTAGCCTTACTCGATAATTTCCTGTAAAACGGTCTTTGAATCTCAAAAATTGCTAAAATTTATTTATTTTAATACATTCGATATTTTCTATACTAAAGGATCGAAGAATGGCCAAACCTCACAGTGGCTAGTAATATTGCTTTTGTTTGAATTCGCCTTTAGTCACATGTATAAGGAAATTTAAATTTTGCTCATTCACTAATCACCCGAGAATCATATTCATAAAGTAATTATCCAAAATTTAAAACAAAACACCAATAAATAATCCAAATACATAGAAAAAGAGTAATGCTAGGAAGGCTAAATTTGTAGACAAAATTTGCAAACCAAATTATGTGTCACCAATAAGGAATGATTACGTTCATCCATGTTTAATTAATGATCTAATCAACAACTTCGATGTCATTTAATTCATAAAATTGTCTTACTCCATAGAAAATTGTTCAAAAACTTGAACCAAATATTAAGAGGGCGTTTAGCCACTAGGGGGAACTCAGACACATGTTGGCCCTTGTTTAAAAGTTCTAATCTTCCATCGGTGTAGATGACTTTTGAAAATCAAAAAACTACACAGTGGTATCTTCGGGATTATCAACTTGAACAAAGTTAGTGTGTATGACTTTACGACGTGAATGATACTTAGCAACAACATCAACAAGTGCTTGACAAATGCATGACCAATAATCCTTGGAACCACAATGATAACATATGTCTATTTCTATGGTGGTTGTGCCTTACCTTTATTCTTGAAGTTGAAAGTCTTGAGATCTAGAGAATCGCGCTTTGAAACCACAACTGTAACACATGTCTATTGGACCAGAAAAGTGTGGCAAGCGTTGTTCGTTATGGGAAGCTGAGATATCCACCAACACATGAAGCCACAGGGTATTCTCTTGTTTACAATCAGCTCTCCCCTTTTGAAGTCCAAAATTATACTTCCGGAATCATCCACCATGTTCGTCTCACAAGTTTGATTTCGTTTGCTTCTTATTTTCTTCAAAGTTTCAATGGAGAATTACAAAGTTGGGTTTTGCTGAAATGACTGAACTTTTAAATCCCCCAAACATAAGTTGTGATGGAATGTGGTTCTTCTGATAAGTTGGTGATCTAATTGTTGTTTCGATGTAGGGTTGAAACTGAATACACTGTACTTTTATCGATGCGGGGATCCTTCTATACATGCAATGAGTCAAATCCACCATTTCAGGACTATCCCAGTTTCTGGTCCTCGGAGCTACCCTGAGAGAATAGCGGTTATGGGAGACCTTGGCCTTACTTACAACACAACTACCACAATAAGTCACTTGAAAAGTAACAATCCTGATCTTGTTCTATTGATTGGTGATGTTACTTATGCAAACCTCTACCTCACAAATGGAACTGGCTCTGACTGCTATTCTTGCTCATTTCCAAACTCTCCAATACATGAGACCTATCAGCCTCGATGGGATTACTGGGGATGGTTAAAACATAAATTGCTTTATTTCTATCGCATACAATGGCTGCTGTAAATTATGGCATAGAACTTGTTTTCTTATGTTGTCATTGCTGGGTAATTTGTGTAGGTATATGCAGAGTTTAGTGTCCAAAGTTCCAATAATGGTTGTTGAAGGGAACCATGAAATAGAAGAACAGGCTGAAAATAAGACTTTTGAGGCTTATAGTTCTCGTTTGAGAAAACAAATTTAATGTGAAATTAATTGGTACTTGGTTCCCTCATTGCTAAAACACATAATACAAATCTTATTTGAAACGCTATCAGAAACAATGACCTTATCTTGAAACTCGTATCACAACAGTACCATTTGGTTCCGATCCCAAGCATGTTTTTATTAAGTTGTCCTTGGTGTCTATGAATGACGAACAATTTTCCTCATTGTAATTAATTATCTTTTTGCTTTAAAGTGCACTGAATATTCTTCAATTTTCTTGAATAAAACAATAGGTTCATGCCTACAAGAGATCGAATCGAGATTATGATTACAACTTAGATTCCTGTGGTCCTGTGTATCTCACCGTTGGTGACGGGGGTAATCGGGAGAAGATGGCAGTTCAACATGCTGACGAACCTGGTCATTGCCCAGAGCCATCAACTACTCCTGATCAACACCTAGGTGCTGGTGCCTTTTGTGTAGAGAAATTTACCTCCGGCCCAGCAGCAGGTAAATTTTGTTGGGATCGGCAACCGAATTACAGTGCTTTCAGAGAAAGCAGCTTTGGCCATGGGATCCTTGAGGTACTCCTTTTTGTGTTTTTATGTTTGGCATATATCCAGTCTGACAATGCATTCAATTGTCTATAAACGTTATAACTTAATATGTACGACCCTAAACTACATATGATACAACTTGAAAATGATTGATGGAAAGATGAGCATGTGCTTGACAGTCAATGTTATGGAACCAGTTTAAATCATTTTTACCACTCCACTGCAATGTTGATAGAGTTTGTGATTTTATATGGTTTTGTGATTTTATGAAGTATCAAAGCACGAAATAAAAAAAATAAAAAATCAATGAGATTATGATCTCTGCTCAGAAAGCAGGAAGGAATGAAGGTGCGAAGAAGGTGAAGAGATTTCTCCCTTGGATTCTATTAAGCTATAACTGAATTGATACATCTAGAAGCATAGAGTGGAGGGTGAGATATAGCGTTTGAGGGCACACTCACTCATCAACCTCACACACTCACGTGTATAGCACATGCTCACCTATAAGTGAGTTGCTATGCCATGTGACACATATCTAGCCTATTACCTTTGATTGAATTTGAGCCCTACATTACAAACTAAGAACAAACACCTTGAATTACAAAGGAAAATAAGAAACTTAAATCAGAAAGCAGCTACAAGGCTTAAACATCAACATTCTCCTTTAAGCTGGCAGCTGATTTGACTCCTAACATCTCTCTAAAATAGTTGAACTTCTCCTTTGGTAGGGCCTTAGTCAAGATATCTGCCATTTGTTCTTCAGATTTGCAGTAAACAAGCTAAAGTTCCTTCTCTTATATTGCATCCCTGATGAAGTGAAATTTTCTGCTGATGTGTCTTGTTTTCTGATGAAACACATGATTCTTGACAATAGCTATTGCTGAAGTGTTATCACACATTAGCATAGTAGGTTCAACCTGTTCTTCTCCAAAATCTTATAGAACAAACCTCAACCACTTGGCCTGAGATGTTGCTTCTGCAACACTTACATATTTAGCTTCTGCAGTGGACAATGCCACTGTGTTTTGTTTGATTGATGCCCAAGAGAACACACCTGAGCCAAGATTGAAAGCATACCCTGATGTGCTTCTCATGTCATCAACACTCCCAGCCCAGTCACTGCCACAATATCCAATAAGCAATGCTGACTTTCGTTTTACATATTCAATGCCAAAGTCCATAGTACCTTGAATGTATTTTAGTACTCTTTTTGCTGTTCTCATATGCTTCTTGGTTGGACCATGCATGAATCTTGCCAAGAGACTAGCACCAAACATTATGTCTGGTCTAGTGGCAGTGAGGTACAAAAAGCTTCCCACCAATTTCCTATACTCAGACTCATCTGCAGTTTCACTTCCATCATTCTTGCATAGCCTTTCATTTGCTACAAGTGGTGTTCCCACGAATTTACAACCCTTTAGTCCAAATTTCTCCAACAACTTCATTGCATATTTCTTCTGATGTATAAAGATGCTCTTCTTGGTTTGTACAACTCTCATACCAAGAAAATGGTGCAGCAATCCCTAATCTGTCATCTCATAGTGCTGCATCATGTCATTTTTAAATTTGTCCAGCAATGTGTCACTACTACCAGTGTACACAATATCATCAACATACACAGAAACAATGAGAATCCCTGAGTTTTCAACCTTAGTGTATAGAGTGGCTTCACTAGGACTTCTTTTAAAACCAGCCTTGGTGAAGTAGGAATCAATTTCATCATACCAAGCTCTTGGAACTTGATTAAGGCCATATAATGCCTTGTTTAACTTGTACACTTTATCCTCCTTGCCTTCTATGACAAAACCTTGAGGTTGATCAACATAGACTTCCTCCTTGAGTACACCATTGAGGAATGCAGACTTTACATCCAACTAAAAGAGTTGCCATTCTTTCTGAGCTGCAAGAGCTATCAAAGTCCTTATGGTGTCAAGCCTAGCAACTGGTGCAAAAGTCTCATTGAAGTCAATTATTGACTTCTGTGAATAACCTTTTGCAACCAATCTAGCTTTGTTTTTCTGAATGCTTCCATCAAGATTCAGTTTTGTTTTGTATACCCACTTCACACCTATCATAGGTTTGCTAGATGGTCTGTCTACCAGCATCCATGTACTATTCTTTTCAATCATGTCTAGCTCAGCTTGCGTAGCTTTCATCCAAGATAAATCTAGAGCAGCCTCTTCATAGCTTTCAAGTTCCATAATGCAAACATTACACTATGCAAGAACTTCATTCAAGGGTCTCCATTTCTTTGGAGTAAAATCATAGCTCTGTGATAGATCAATCTGTGAGCTTGAACCATCAGCATTGGAACTCAAACTTTCCTGTGAAATATCAGAAGTGATCTCAGGGAGTATAATTTCATTTGAACTTCTAATCCTTGAGTTGGTTCAGATTCTACTATATTAGTAGTAATTGATGTATCAAAATATTTTTCAGAGCTTACATTCCAATCCCATCTGGGACTCTCATCAAATACTACATCTCTAGACAATATAATTTTATTAGTGATAAGATCAAATACCCTGTATCCTTCCTCACTGGTTCCATACCCCACAAAGACATATTTGTGACTGTTGCATTCAAGCTTGTGTCTAAGATTCATGGGAACATGAACATAGCACACTGAACCAAAGATCTTCAAATGTGCAATTCCAGGTTTTATTCCACTATAGGCTTCAAAAGGAGTCATTTTATCCAAAGACCTTGTAGGACACCTGTTGAGGAGATATACTGCAATGTGCACAGCTTCTGTCTAAAACTGGTATGGCATGCCTTTTTCATGTAGCATAGTTTTTTCCATTTCCACCACAGTTTTATTTTTTCTTTCAGACACACCATTCTGCTGTGGTGTGTATGACATGGTTAGTTGCCTTTGAATACCAGAGACATTGCAATAGTCACTGAATTCAGAAGACATGAACCACCTCTATCATTTTTTAGGTACTTGATCTTGTGTCCACCCTGCAATTCTGTCATTGCATTGAACCTTTTGAAATACTCAAATGGCTAGGATTTTTATCTCAGAAAATAAACCCATGTCATTCTAGTACAATCATCAATGAGCAGAATAAAGTACTTGTTTCCAGCATTTGAAGCAATTTGCATTGGACCACAGATATGTATGTACCAATTCAAGTGGGAATTTAGCTCTCCAAGCAAATTCTCTTGGAAATTCATCTCTACGTTGCTTGCCAAGCATACATCCTTCACAAACATTCTTGGAATCTTCCAAGTGAGGCAGCCCATGAACCATTTCTTACTCCCTAAGTTGCAGCAAACTTCTTGTGTTTAAATGACCAAGCCTCTTGTGCCAAGTCTGAGTACAATGAGATACACTAGCTTTCAGTGCTAGTGGTGTAGCAGGCATCATGGTTAAGGGAAAACACATGTTGCCAGTCATTTGAACCTTAGCAACCAGTCCATTCAAGTTCTAGCTATCATAAATACAAACTACATTACCACCAAATAGTAGATAGTAACCATGTTTCAACATTTGCCCCACACTTAGGAGATTTTCCTCCAAGCCAGGCACCATCATCACTTCTTGTATGTGTTTTCTTCCCATCTTAGTTTCAATGACAAGTGTACCTATTCCTGCTACACTCACAACTTCACCAGTTCCCATTTTTACTCTTGCATTCAGGTTTCTACTCATATTCATCAGCAAGCTTTCATTCCCTATCATGTGGTTGCTGCAACCACTATCAATGTACCAAGTATTATTGACTTTCACCTGAGTCACAAAATTGCAAGCAAAGAATAAGGTTCCCATATCATCAACCTGATTTGCATAGTTGGCCTTCTGCACCATTTTGTTCCCATTGCAGTTTCTGGTTTCATGATCAAATTTATTGCAATTTGTGCATTTAGGTTTTCCTTCAAACCAGCACTTTCCATAGTGCAGTTTATCACAATGTTTGCAAGCTGTTTTGTTCGAATCATGAGAATTATTCTGCTTAGAGACAAGGTTGGGCTTGTTATCCCACTTTTTCCTTTTGTTCTTCCAATTTTTTCCTGATTTTTGAGTACCGGAGAACCCACTGGGTTTTTGAAACTTAGACCCAACATTTAGACTAACAAATGCCTTTTCATTAGAGTTTTTAGCATGCATATCTAGCCTTTGTTCATAACCCTTCAGAGAGGCAACAACTTCTTGGATTTCAAGGGTTTCAATATCCTTTGATTGTTCAATCACAGCACAGATAGAGTCATAACTTCTAGGCAAGCTTATAAGTAATTTTTGAACAACCCTGTCCCTAGATAGTTCTTCACCATAACCCCTTATTTGATTCATGAGGTCAAACAATTTAGTAAGGTATGTAGATAAGGATTCATCATCTATCATCCTAGTGTACTCAAATTCTCTGCTTAAACCTTGTAATTTCACATTTCTAACCTGTTTGTCATCTCTGAGTTCTTGCTGTAGAATATCCCAAGCTCCCTTGGAGGTTTCTTCGTTAGAGATCCTGGGGAAAATCTGATCAATGACAGCTCCTTGGATCAACCCAAGAGCCTTAGCATCCTTCATTATGATCTCCACAACGTTTGGAGTTTCAGTAGCTGCATCATTCTCCTTCTTTTCATCAGCTACCATAACCACAATAGATGATTATGGGATAGTAAACCCAGTCTCTACGAGCTCCCACAGTCCATGAGACTAGAGGATGGTTCGCATTCTGATATTCTAGAATTCATAGTTCTCACCATTGAAAATGGGAGTGCGAAGCTCAGAACTCGTTGTTCTAGCCATATTAGACTCAGATCTTCGATTTTCACAGATTTTCAAAGCGCGATTCTTCAGCAATGAAGCTTAGGGAAAACAATTCATTGAAGAACACAGAAATCACATATTCATGCCCAGATTAAAGCGATGAACCTGGCTCTGAGGCCATGATAGAGTTTGTGATTTTATATGGGTTTGTGATTTTATGAAGTATCAAAGCATGAAATCAAAAAGAAATCAATGAGATTATGATATCTGCTCAGAAAGCATGAAGGAATGAAGGTACGAAGAAGGTGAAGAGATTTCTCCCTTGGATTTTATTCAGCTATAACTGAATTGATACATCTAGAAGCATAGAGTGGAGGGTGAGATATAGTCGTTGAGGGCGCACTCACTCATCCACCTCACACACTCACGTGTATAGCACATGCTCACCTGTAAGTGAGATGGTATGCCATGTGACACACATCTAGCCTATTAGCTTTGATTTAATCTGAGCCCTACATTACAAACTAAGAACAAACACCTTGAATTACAAAGGAAAATAAGAAACTTAAATCAGAAAGTAGCTGCAAACATCAACAAATGTCACGAGAAAATCACTTCGCACCAATATCTGTTTATATGGGGTGCGAAAATCCTGTGACTAACTTGAATACCCTTGATCGGTTATTGAGTAGCAAACATATAGATGTAGGCTAGTAGGCTAGAAGTCTGCTGAGAATGTATATACTAGAATTATAGCTCAGTTTCACCACCTGGATTATACATTAACCGTGCATTTTGATGTGCATAACTTGCAGGTGAAGAATAAGATTTGGGCTTTGTGGACATGGTACCGGAACCAGGACTCCGACAATAAAATTAGAGATCGAATTTATATAGTGAGGCAGCCTGATAAATGCTGCATCCGCCATGCGTTCTAAAGTTGGCTTGCTGGCCTCTAATTCTCACTGCTGCTTGCTGGGAAAATTATTATTAAGATACCAACTCAAGTGACCATTCTTATCTAGATAGGAATAGGACGGAAGGTGCAGAAAGAGTAGGAAGATGGGGTTTCACCTATGTATACACACTACATATATGGGGAGAGGGAGAGAGAAAGAGAGCAGAAGACGAAAAGCAACTCCGTTATTGTGGTATGTAGCTGATAAAATCTCATTTATACATCTCCATTGTAACTTGAATATATACTCTCAACCAATTTATACAACAAAAAATGTGTAAGATTGGTTCCTGGAGCAATTTCAGATATCGAATTCTGAACTATTTGCGTATTTTGTTGAGTTACTGCAAATTGGTTCAACTGATGAACCAAAAATTTCCCCTCCCCCTATTATGAAGCCAAAAAATTGTTGGAAGTGACTTTTATATTGTCACTTAGTGTTACAAGTTCACTAATGTTATGGTGGCACCGCTTATAAGGGTGGTGTTTCGACAAAACCCTTAGCTCCCGAGCTCACAATGCACCCCGCCTATAAGTCATTCGGAGTTTGGAAGGAGCAATGAGGTTTGCTATAACCTCCGTACAAAAAACCTTCAACAACTTCCCATACATTGTATTCTCCATTAAATTCCAGGCCAGGGGTTCCACCTCCATCTCATATAATTTCTTACCGTCTCTTGTCCAAAACATTTGTAATATTGTGCCAATTATGTTATATATTTGCAGGATGCATAGCAATTTGGTGTTAGTAAAACATTGTCTGCCGCATATTTGATCATGTTTTAACTTAGGAATTTCATGGTCTAGTTAATTTTGACGAATTTGAAAGGCTTTTAAAACAAATTAGAATCAAACTTTCAAAATTACTACCCCAAACAAATTGCACTGCAAATTACCATAATCAGAATTCATCAGCTCATGTACATACTACATAACATTTACTTAGGATATGAAATGGTGAGATCGATAAATTCGAAATCATCATTATATTGTTGTTCTTATTACATTAATATAGATACATGTAGCCACTATATATATACCTATTAGAGTGAATAACATACCAATGCCATGCCCCACAATTTGTTGTCCTGACACAATCGACCGGATTCGCCGCGTTGTAGTCAAAACAGATGACGACTTCCAGCAGATACACGATCCCCCCGTCATACTTGCAACGAAGAAGAGGTATTTTGTTTTGTATAGTCCTTTGAATGGTTGATTCAAGGTCGATGTAACGATATTGATATCCTGGTACAATCCCAGTTGTTTGAGAAAATAGATATTGTGCATTGTAGGTAAACTATATAAGCTTCATGGAAGTATTGTGTCTGGGAAAATTTATTGTCCGAGCACCTGCCGTGCTTGTTGTATTGATCCTCCCAGAAATCCATATTTGTCTGTCTAATGTTTAAGGTTGGCCAGGAATTGGACAAAAGTAATTGCAGATAATGATCAGCATTCATCTGAAGCACAAAGATGAGAAGTTACAAGCATTTCAGAGAGCTGCAGGAGAAAAAACAAGGGAACTGAAATGAGTGTGTGTATATATATATATTCGATGTGTACCTCATTTCTGTTGAATACGGTACCAGCGCAGTGTATTGTACATCAGACTCCTGGCCCTCAATTTGTAAATCAGATTAATAGTTTCCATGGTGATAGAGTATTCGGAGGAAAGTCTAAGTAGTAAAAAGATCGCCGAGGTCTTCCGGCGGCTCGCCTCCAAGCCCAGCCTTGATGCCAGCTCCCTCTTCTGCAAGCGCTAACTCGCCCTTGAGCGCCTCAGCAGCATCGCCCTTTGCATCGGTGCCACCGGCAGCCCGGACCTCGTCGTCGGCCTCCTTGCTTCCAATTCCGCAATGTCTGTGCCGTTCACATTGACGAGCACCTTAACCTTTCGTCGGTGAGGCTGCATTCTGTTTGAGAAAATGAATTTCATTGATTAAGAGAATAAAATTACAATGTTGTGGTGTGTGTGTGTGTGTGTGTATATGTGTGTGTGTATATATATATATATATATGTATGGATACCCTCTACACTCTCACATAACTCTAACCTTCTAAACACCTAGCCACCTATACAACAATCTCAACTAATCACTAGTCTAATACAACAAACTAACTAGCTCTAAGTTTTATCACCAATTGAATCTTTAACAATATTATCCTTAACATCCCCTCCTCAAACTGAACTGAGGAGTTCGAAGGGACAATTTGGATCTTAAGAGCTTAAACCAGTCTTTGGAAAGAGATTTTGTGCAGATATATGCAATTAAGTTCCCCGACGCGACTTCGAATGATTTTGTAACTTTTTCGATTTGGGTAAGCCTCAAAACACTCCAAATGTTTCTCTTTTCGTCCCTATAGTTCTTTTATGACCACGTTGTTGTGTTTTGGACATCAAAATATGAAGAAACACCTCGGAGGACTATATTCCATGTTTTCTGGCGAGGTGCTGGAACTTGCAGACGTTTTCTGATCATATTTCAGCCACGAGGAAGGTATATTTCGACTCCTTGCTTCACGGGCTTCATTTTGGTATTTTAGTTCACTTGTTTTGACTAAGTTTCGAGCTCCATCAAAGCTCGGGCATTCTCTAGCCAATTTTTGGCCTTCTTATTCCTTTGGTCCGATGACCCACAACCTTAGACCCAAAACCCTTTTTACCCAGCCCATTTGGGTAGCCCAATCCCTTATCCTTTAAACCAAATGACCCAATTAAATAATCGGGCTTTCAAGCCCAAAACCCTAGTCTAACTAGGCCCTTAGGCCGTGCACCTAGGCCCAGGCCCATCGCCAATCCAGCCCATTAAACCCAAACCCTTGACCATTTGAAACCAGGCTTTTGGGCCTAGGTCCCTTCAGCCTAAACCCACCAGCCCAACTCGGATGGAATATTCTTTGGAATATTCCGTCAGAGAATATTCTGTCAAGGAATATTCTTTGGAATATTCTTAGTGTTGACTTTTTATTGACTTTTTCGAAATTTACCCGGAACCCTTTTTAGGGTAATTCGACGTCCTGAATCCATTTTAGACATCCGTTTTCCCAAATTCAATCATTTGAATAAAGTTTTATTAATTGGACCATTTATGTGCTTATGTGCAATTATTTACAGCGATTCCGTCATTTTTATTTCATATGGCTCTACAACGACGGAGTATCTGTGAGTGGACTCCTTCTAAAATGCATGTTTTAATACTAGAAATGCATACATAAAAAGCCTAATTTAATTATTACTTTTTATGAAACGTTTTTATGAGATATTATGCTTACTGAGAATATTTTGAATTACCATATTTTATCGAACTCATGTTCTATGTGGTATAGATGATGGATGACTTTATACTGCTTATGAGCATGCTTTTGCACACTTCTTTATAGTATAGGTGATGGATGACTTTATACTATGAAGATGTTTTTAAGATATATATATACCTATGTTTGGAAAGTCTATGTTCAATGGTTTTGTGCTTATCTAGTGGTCACTATACCGCCACGGGCGAGGATTATGGTTGTTGGCTGTGGGCCGGGAGAAATAATCTCTGGCTTCGGGCCGAGAGACATGGAGTTGGCATTGGGCCAGGAGAAATAATCTTTGGCTACGGGCACAGAGACATAAAAGCTGGCATTGGGTCGGGATATTATTATTGGATACCATTATGTATCACACTATTTACGAGATATGTTTTATGAAGGTTTTATGGCATGCTAGGGTTTTCGGAAAACCTATTACATATTATACTATTGAATTTCCATAAAACTTTGGTGGTTAGTATGTTGATAACTGTTTTAGTCTATATATATATATATATATATATATATATATATCAACTTGGTCCACTCATGTTTGTTTTGCGCCCCCTCAGGACTTAGAATTGAGGTGTACAATCCCGACGTCAAGGCACTTCCGATTCGGCAGCTTTGAGGCCTCTCGGTGTAGAACCCATTCCTTTGCTCCTTCAATGTTATATTTTTTCTTTAGTGTTCTAGATTAGTTGTATGCTCTGAACACGTTCCTCATTTGCATATTAATTATAATTAAATTTATAAGTCTTATATATTTCGGGTTCTCATGCATTCTAATATGGCTTCGTCACCTTAGGGTGTTGGCCAACACGTTCCTACCCTGGTGTTCGGGGAATATCAGGGTTGGGCGTGTCAACATGGAAGATGGAAACTAATATCAGCAAGTAACTGACATATCCATGTAATTTCAGCTGCAGTATTAGCTAGAGATCGATACTCTGCCTCTATTGAAGAACGAGCCACTATTGGTTACTCCTTAGCACTCCAATTGATGATAGATGAACCCAGAAAAATACAATAACTGCCAGTTGATCTTCGATCAAGTGTGCAACCTGCCTAGTCAGCATCTAAGAAGGCTTTGAGAGATGGAACAGAGACAGATTATGTAAACCAAAGACCAATGTCAATGGAACCCTTAAGATATCGAATGATCATTTTGACAGCTTAAAAATGAGACTGCCTTGGATTGTGCATGAATTGACAAACAAGATTGACTACAAATCATAAATCTGACCGAGTCCAAGTAAGATATTGTAATACACCAACCAAAGATCGATATTCTGTAGGATTATCAAGCAATGGAGAAGAATGATCCAACTTAGATGTATTGAGTGGGGTAACACATGGTTTTGCTCTAGCCATGTTAGTCTTCTTTAACAGATCCAAGATATACTTGGTTTGTGAAATAAAGATGCCTTTGGAGGATCGCTTGACTTCAATTCCCAGAAAATAATGAAGTGCACCAAGGTCTTTGATGAGAAAGAGAGAGCTAAGTTGAGAAATTACATGTTTCCAAGCTGCTACAGATGGCCCTGTGACAATAATGTCATCAACATATATCAGAACAAAGACCATAAGATCCCTTTTGACAAACAATGAATGATCTGATTTAGAACTAGTGAAGCCAAGAGTATGCAATGCGCCATGGAATTTTTCATACCAGGCTCTGGGAGCCTGTTTAAAACCATATAGGGATTTATGCAGTTGACAAACATGAGTATGGTGAATAACATCTTCAAAACCAGGCGGATGTTGCATATAAACAGATTTAGACAATGTCCCATGCAGAAAAGCATTGCTTTCATCTAGTTGACTGAGACTCCAATCAAATTGGGCAGCAAGAGTGAGTATGAGTCGAATTGTCACAGGCTTGGCTACTGGACTAAAAGTCTCAGTATAATTAAGTCCTTCTTGCTGATGAAAACCTTTGGCAACTAAGAAAACTTTGTACTTATCTATGGTACCATCAGGTTTTCTTTTAATCCTGAAAACCCATTTACATCCTACAATGTTTTGATGAGCAGTTTTGGGTACTAAAGACCAAGTACCAGTTTGTTGGGAGGCAAGAAACTCATCCTGCATTGCCTTAACCCAATGTGGATATTTAGAAGCTTGGAGATGTGTAGTGGGGACAAATTCATATGAAAATTAAGAAAGGAGAGGATGTTTGCTTGCAGAAAAGGCTTTTGGTTTGTAAATACCAGATTTGGACCTGGTTTGCATAAGGTGAGTATTAGTAGGAACTGAGTGAGATGTAGGTATAAGAGATATAGGTATAGGGGCTATTGGAGAAGAGCTACTTGGAAATATATGAGATGGAGATGATGGTATAGGGGAATGAATATGTGGTTGAGTGAATGTGAGGTGAATGGGAATGGTATTGAGAGGTGAAGATGCTGCTGAGGGAAAAGAGCACTGTGAAACTGCAATAGTGTTAAAGGGAAAACTGCCTTCATCAAAGATCACATTTCTGAGATGTATAACTTGTTGGTAGTAAGATCCAAACATTTGTAACCTTTTTGGTTAAGGCTGTAATGAAGGAATACACATAACTTTCTTTTGGGATCCAATTTAGACTCAGAGTAAGGTTGCAGCCATGGAAAACAACTACACCCAAAAACCTTCAAGGTGGCATAGTTAGGTGATCTGTGGAAAAGACGTTCCCATGAAGACAATCTGGATAAAGTAGGTAATCTATTTATGAGAAACACAACTATGGAAAAAACATGATCCCAATAGGTGTAAGGGACCTTAGAAACTGTTAAAAATGTTCTGGCAGTCTCAACTATGTGTCTGTGCTTGCAATCAGCACAACCATTCTGTTGAGGAGTGTATGGACAACTTAGTTGATGACTAATACCATTTTCAACAAGGAAATTAGAGAATTGAGTGCTAAGATATTCCCCACCAGATCTGATCTGAGAGCAACAATTTTAGTATGCAACAAGTTCTCAACAAGACTTTTGAACTTAACAAAAGTAGGAAACACATTAGATTTATATTGCAAAGGATAAAGCCAACAATATTTTGTAAAATCATCTACAAAGATGACATAGTATCTGAAATTGTTCACATAAGTGACGGATGTTGGCCCCCAAACATCTATGTGAAGTAGCTCCAAAGGTTTACTGGTATGACAAGGTACATAAGCAAATGGCAATCTGGAACTTTTGCTTAAGGCACAACCATTATAGAAAGACTTATTAGAACCATTAGAAAACCAAATACAATACTTAGTAGCCAACTTATTGAGAATCTTCATCGAAGGATGGCCAAGTCTTTGGTGCCAAATATTTCTAGATGTGTTAACAGAAGCAGCAAACACATTGTGATTGTGGATCACATAACTGGAAGCCTATAGTTGAAATAGATAGAAGCCATCTCTCACATGACCTTTAAAGAGCATCTTTCCAGAAGAAATATCCTTCACAGCGAAGTGATAAGGATAAAGATGCATAGAACACCAATTATCAACAAGAAACTGATTTGCAGAAAGCATATTTTGTTTCAAATCAGGAACATGCAACACATTTCGAAGTTGAAAATTATGATGAGGAGTATGTAATGCAGAAGAACCAGAGTAGAGAATGGGCAAACCTTTGAAGAGTGTTGTAAGAATTGGTCATGTGAGTACTAGCACTGGAGTCAACAATCCAAGTAAGTTGAGGAGAAAGTGTGCTTGCAGCCATAGCAGAATGAGAAGCATTGCTGGAATAATGTGGATTCATGCGCTAGGGACACTCGATTGCATCATGCTCAAACTAGCGAAAAATTTGGCATGGAATCCTCATTCCAGAGAAATTGAAGGATGATCAACTACCACGGTTGTAACACTGAGAGTTGTTGCGAGAAAAATTTAGATGATAGTTGTTAGAACGGAAGTTGCTTCATCCTTGGAAGTTTCTAGGGTTGGAGAAACCACGATCGCCACCATGACCTTGAGAGAAATTACGATCACCACCACGACCTGGAAGATTATGTTGAGCAACAAAGGCCTGAGAATGTGGAGTATGAAGGATGCCGGTGGTGGAGTTGTACGCCTGAATTGGCACTATCGAAGTAGTTTTCTTCCAATTTGTTAACTGAATCTCTATACTAAGAAGAAGACTATGCCGCTCATCAAGTGTGGTGGAACCAAGCTGGAATTGTATCGCATCAACAAAAGATTCGTACTCTGATGGTAAATCGTGAAATGTGATAGAGATTAATTCAGAATCCTTAACTGGAGCACCGACATTGGCAAGAGCATCATCGATCTCTTGAATTTGTTGAAGATATTGAGCAGTTGTGGAATCGCCCTTTGAAATGCTGTGTAAACATGATCGGAGCTCATGGATGTGCCATTGAGACGCCATCGCAAGGCGTGACTCCAATTTTACCCAAAGTTATCTGGATGTAGTAACTCTAACAATGTAAGGAATGATCGATTTAGAAAGCATGGAATCGATCCAGATGAGGATGTTCTTATCATTCTCGAACCAAGAAACATATGCCGGATTCAGAATTTGATTTCCAACAGCATTAGAGATGAATTGAGCTGGAGGAGGCATCGATCCATCAAGAATTCTAGTGAGATTATAGCGACGGAAGATCGAAGAAAATAATGCACTCCAAGTGAGATAATTGGTCAGAGTCAGCTTGATCGGCACCATGGATTCGATATTCTGGATCATGATTAAAGGTGTGGAGAGAGTAGAACTAGAATTTGAGAGAAGATCAGGATGAATTTGTGTTGCCGATTTAGAAGAAGGAGAAGCTGAGGTCGCCATGGGAGATAGTTAGGGTTTGGCAGTGAAAGCTTAGGAAGGAAGAAAGCTTAGCGAAGAAGCTGGAGAGGGGAAAGCGTGGATTGGATCAAGTCGGTAGACAGAAGGCGGGTGATACCATGTTAGAGAAAATGAATTTCATTGATTAAGAGAAAAAAAATTACAATGTTGTGGTGTGTGTGTGTGTGTGTGTGTATATACACCCTCACATAACTCTAACCTTCTAACCACCTTGCCACCTATACAACAATCTCAACTAATTACTAGTCTAATACAACAACCACAACAAACTAACTAGCTCTAAGTTTTATCACCAATTCAATCTTTAACAATACCATCCTTAACACATTATGCCAATGGCTCCGCCGAAAACGTGCTTGATTTGAACAGCGTATCAGATGTCAGTATGACTGCTATCAGCAACAGATTCCCCAAGCTCGAAAATCTGAGCTTAATCTGGTGCTCCAATGCCTCTAGTATCGGTCTAATTTTGCTGATAAGTGTAAACTGTTGAAATCGTTGGATTTGATAGAGTTGAATTTTAATGCTTGAAGTCTGCAATTCTTCGTTTGAATACTTAACTGGACTATCAGTGATCCACAACTCCCTGGTTGGTAGCTACTTGGCATCCTTCCTGGTATAGTACCTACGAAGCCCTTTACAGAGAGGCAGAATGTATGAGGTAGCAAACATATAGATGTAGGCTAGTAGGCTAGAAGTCTGCTGAGAATGTATATACTTGAATTACAGCTCAGTTTCACCACCTGGATTATACACTAAGCGTGCATTTTGATGTGCATAACTTGCAGGTGAAGAATGAGACTTGGGCTTTGTAGACATGGTACCGGAACCAGGACTCCGACAATAAAATTGGAGATCAAATTTATATAGTGAGGCAACCTGATAAATGCCGCATCCGCCATTTGTTCGAAAGTTGGCTTGCTGACCTCTAATTCTCACTGCTGCTTGCTGGGAAAAATTTATTATTAAGATCCCAAATCAATTGACCATTCTTATCTAGATAGGAATAGGATGGAAGGTTGCAGAAAGAGTAGGAAGATGGGGTTTCACCTATGTATACACACTATATATATAAGAGGAGGGGGGTTGGGGGGGTGGGGGGTGGGGGAGGGGGCGGGGAGAGAGAGAGAGAGAGCAGAAGAAGAGCAACTCCGCTGTTGTTGTATGTAAATGATAAAATCTCATTTATACGTCTCCTTTGTAACTTGAATATATACTCTCTCAACCAATTTATACAACAACAAACGTGTAAGATTGGTTCCTGGAGCAATTTCGGATATCGAATTCTATTATATATTTGCAGGGGTTCCACCTCCATCTCATAGAGATTATCATCACCTGTTGTTTCTGTGAATAATGTAATTTCTTACCGTCCCTTGTCCAAAACATTTGTAATATTGTGCCAATTATATTATATATTTGCAGGATGCATAGCAATTTGGTGTCAGTAAAACTTTGTCTGCCGCATATTTGATCATGTTTTAACTTCGGAATTTCATGGTCTAGTTAATTTTGACGGATTTTGAAAGGCTTTTAAAACAAATTAGAATCAAACTTTCGAATTTACTACCCCAAACAAATTGCACTGCAAATTACCATAATCAGAATTCATCAGGTCATGTACGTACTACATAACATTTACTTAGGATATGAAATGGTGAGATCGATAAATTCGAAATCATCATTATATTGTTGTTCTTATTACATTAATATATATATATATGTAGCCACTATATATACCTATTAGAGTGAATACGATACCAATGCCCCACAATTTGTTGTCCTGACACAATCGACCGGATTCGCTGCGTTGTAGTCAAAACAGATGACGACTTCCAGCAGATACGCGATCCGCCGGTCATACTTGCACATAAGAAGAGGTGTTTTCCCTCCTATAGTCCGTTGAACGGCCGATTCAAGGTCGATGTAATGATATTGATATCCTGGTACAATCCCAGTTGTTTGAGAAAATAGATATTGTGCATTGTAGGTCAACCATAATCTATAAGCTTCGTGGAAGTATTGTGTCTGGGAAAATTTATTGTCCGAGCACCTGCCGTGCTTGTTGTACTCATGCGCCCAGAAATCCATATTTGTCCGTCTAATGTTGAAGTTGGGCCAGGAATTGGACAAAAGTAATTGCAGATTATGATCAGCATTCATCTGAAGCACAAAGACGAGAAGTTACAAGCATTTCAGAGAGCTGCAGGAGAAAAAAACAAACTGAAATGAGTATATATATTCAATGTGTACCTGATTTCTGTCGAATAGGGTGCCAGCGCAGAGTATAGGTGCAGATGGATCGGTAAAGTTGCTCAGCCAGAGGCCATGTGTCGTAAAGGTATGCCGCAGAACTGGTTGGTTTCCACAAATTCCACTCCGGAGGCAGAAGACGATTGGGGATTGCTGGACGAATTGGAAGATATCATATGGTGTGGCAGCATTGCTCTTTCCTAGATAAGTGACGAAGCAAAGAGCGATGACAACGAGAACAATCTTGAAGAAGTGCATGGTTGTCAAGCAATTATCAAAAGAACAAAGGGAGGGAGGGAGGATGGGATGAGAAATAATAAGGAAAGCTAAAGAGTGAATGAAGTGTGAATTTTCAAAGAAATGAAGAGGTGTTTAAATAGTTAGAGTTGAGGTTAAGGGTAGGGTTTGGAGAAATTAATTAAGGTGAAGCTAACTAGCAAAGTTGATAATAATTAAGGTCAAGTAAGTGTGAACATATTCGGAATTAGGGAATGCCTCTTTCTTGTTGCCCAAGGCAAGGCATTCTCATGCTATACGGGGTAGTAACTGTGTGGTGGATGATTCATTTCATGGTTGTACCGCTTCCTATTTACAGATAATTAATTAACTTGTGGATTAAGTAAATAGCTATTTTTGCTGCTGCAAACCCTGGAGGTAGCCTTCGGACCGGGGAACTCATATCGTCCTATTAACACCAGCTTCTTCGTTGCAAGGGTGGATATCTGTGGGTAGTCATCATTTCATTTCACGGTTGTATCGCTTCATATTTGCAGATTTTTATTACAACATGCCTTTAGTTAATTCATTAATCAAACATGATCAATTATGCAACATACAAATTCTTATCGACTCCAAGTTTAAAGACGTCCATAATTTGGACAACAAAAGGATTTCATTAATTTCGACGCCATGTTCTGTCAAGCACTACGTGCTCATGTACTTGTTGCCTTCCATGACCGAAACCATACTCTTCACATATACAACGGGCAAATGATTTTCTTTGCACAGTGGAAAATAATACGATTGCGGAGGAAAACGGGGAGTGATCCTTACAGCAGTTTGAATGGGAAGATTTTTAAGCTTCTTAGTACGGAAGTTATAGCAGACTATGCCTCCATTTTCCTCTACTATAAGAACCTCGTCGCTTTTCCACATTGCCATTGTGTAGTGCAGGGGCAAGCGGGACTCTGAGAACGACGGGATCTTGTATGCAATGTGTTTTGTCCAAACACCACCCTCATTTTTCGCACCGCCACCAGAATCATCATCCATTAGCCACATTTCAAAGGGTGGTGTGTCACCATCTTCAAAAGTATTATGATTCAAGCGAAAGAAAGCGATGGATTCATTCCACACCTTAAGACGCATTTCAATACCAATTCCTTCGAAATCGTTGAACTCTACCATCTCATGTGGTAACAGTATGTCATGAAACACCTCACGACTCATGTCAAACAAAACGATCACTCGCCTAATTTTTTCTTGCTCAGGATAGGCGGCATCATAGCTATGGGCAAATTCCTTTTGTTGCTCACTTCCTATCCAATAACACATCCCCTTGAAGTACACCTGAAAAGTTTCAGGCCAAAGGAAAGTAGTTTCCGTTTCTAAAGAATAAGGCTCGATCTCTCTCCAAGAACTAGTTCCCAGGTTATACACTACTACCTTGGGAGGATGAATAATCAAATGTTTTGTGCCGCCATGCAATTCTGAACCAGAAAATCCAATTTTGACAACTTTGTAATCTTTAGATTTAGGATCATATCCTAATCCCAAAACATCGTCGAACCGATCTGTTCGTGGCATGTAAGGCATACCCAACCACCAAGGATGAGGATCCCTAAGGGATGCTTCGCCGAACCAATCTGGAATATATGTCTCTGAGGGAAGGACCCTGAATTGCCGGATTCCACAAAAGCACCTTAGTAGAATTAGGTCGAGCTAGACAAATGATACCATTACAATGACCTGCAACGTGAAATGATTGATCATCTCCAATCTCTAGACTCATAGCAAGAGGAACATCGAAGTCCTCGATCCCAGAAAGAGTGCTACACACTTGTGCACACCACCATCGTCATCATCAACAATGACATTGTCAAAAGTAAGTACTGAGAATACGGATTGAAATTTGTCCCCATTTGGGTCCTCCGTAGAAGGGACTAACATTCGCTTCAGAAGGACACGAGTGGACTGATCGTCCAGCAAGGAATGGGAGAGGTGCTTGTCGACGAACCTGGGGTCGTTGATGAGAGCATGCCACCATTTAGCGACGCACTTGAATCGCATCAGAGATTTGGGAGGCAGAGTTGACAGAATATTCACCAATAAATCTTGTCCAATTTTAGATGTTTTGTTCGTCATTTGTGCAATGTCAAGTATCGACCTCACCCTTGTTCTAATACACACACAAAAACCAACACAACTCTTTAATTAAGCTGATTCTCAAAAGCTCATGTCATCTGGCGACATTAAAAAACTCATGGATACATTAAAAATTTTAACCCTACTGAAAATGCCAATTGAAATTCAAAAGCGAAATAAGAATTGAAACAAAAAAAGTATCTTTCTTTCATTTAAAAAAAGATATATATATATATAAGGATTAATCTCTGTTTACTACCCTGAAGTTTCGTGGTTTTCAACATTTGATACATGAAGTTTTTTTCATCCTAGAGTCATACCTCAAGTCTTAATTTTGGGACAGTTTCATACCTCCGTTAAGTTTTCCGTTAGAATTTCTGTTAACTGATGACGTGGCGCTCATGTGGACAATAATTTAGCGCCACGTGTCAATATGGACCCACTTTAATATTAAAAAATTAAAAAACAAATACCAAAAAAAAAAAAAAGCCAACCTGTCCCCTCACCCCCGCACCCGCCTTCTCTCTTCTGCAAATCCCAGCACCTCTCAATTTATTTCTCTCTCTATCTCTCTCTCTCTCTCTCTCTCTCTCTCTCTCTCTCACTACCCTCACTCTCTTCCTCTGCCTTATTCGTCGTGAAAAGAAGACGACGAGAAAGAAAACCCACCCGCTCGCCCCTTTTCCCCGATCCCTCCCTCTTTTCTTTCCTAATCCTTCCCACACCTCCCTCTTCACATCTCTCTCTCTCCAAGCACATCTGAGCTTCTCTATGTCCATGTAGGTGTCGAAGATGTCGTCATCAGAGCTGTCCAACTCTTTGAAGCCGCAGGACGGGCCGTCGAACGGGTCATGGAACAGATCTAAGTCGTCAGGGATCTGTAAATGGCCTCGGATTGGGTTCGACGATGGTAGGAGCCCCGGAACGGGGTGCTCGGAGTTGTGTCTGGAAACGGCGAGCGCCATGCGTGGGTGGTGAGAGTCCTGAGAGCTGGAGCTCGGATCCTGTTTCGGGTTGGCAGGATCTTGCATTTTGTCGAGTCTGGCGCTTAGAGCTATCTTTCTCTCTCTTTTACTTTCTTCTTGCGACCGTACTAGATGTGTTGACAGTGAGTGTTCTTCACTCAAGATCTAGATGGTCAGGGTTAGGGTGTGGCTCGGAGGCTTTGCCGCCCAAGGTCGAAGCTCTTGATTCGGAGGACATGGAGAACCAGAAAGGTTAGGGAATCGCGGTGAGAGATTGATTTGCTAGGTTTCTGCTGGGTTTTGTAGGGTGTGGGTTCAGAGAGATTGGCAGAGAGATTGGCAGCGGTGGTGGGGTTTACTGGATGTTTCTCGTTGTCTTCTTTTCACGGCGAATAAGGCGGAGGAAGAAAGTGAGTGTAGTGAGAGAGAGAGAGAGAGAGAAAGAAAGAAATCGAGAGGTGCTGGGATTTGGGTGGGGTGGGATTTGGGTGAGGTGCTGGGATTTGCAGAAGAGATGAGGGTGCGGGGGTGAGGGATAGGTTGGGCTTTTTTTTTGTTATTTTTGTGTTTTTGTATTTTTTTTTTTTAATTTTTTAATATTAAAGTGGGTCCATATTGACACGTGGCTCAATTATTGTCCACGTGAGTGCCACGTCATCAATTAACAGAAATTCTAACGGAAAACTTAACGAAGGTATGAAACTGTCCTAAAATTAAGACTTGAGGTATGACTTTGGGATGAAAAAAACTTCATGTACCAAATGTTGAAAACTACGAAACTTCAGGGTAGTAAACAGAGATTAACCCTATATATAAACTGAAATTGAATAATAAAAAGCTAGAAATAAAGTTACCTTGTTGTATACTAGGCAGTAGGAAGAGGAAGAGACCGAAGCAGAAGCCGCGCTGCGAGTGAGAGGGAAAGGGGCAGACTCGGCGCAGAAAATCTATCTTCTGCGTTTTGTTCATGCAACTGCCTGTGATAATGCGATGGCAGAGAGGGGTTTTTATTTTGATTCTTGTGCATCCACCCGATAATATTGTTCTAAAAATCTCTACCTAGACATTAGATGGTTGACCAGTGTCCCGATTAATTCCTAAGCATTTGAAAATTAAGAATGAGCATCTAGACACTCTCTTAGGTCTCGACTCTTATTTAGACAGAAAATAGATAACCCTTATTTTGTATTTATTTTTTTCGATAAATTGTACAAGACTTATTAAATACTTAGTTGAATACACATTATATGTTTGCTCCCATGTTTCATTATGTTAATACTTTATAATCTTTATATCATTCTAATTTGTAATTTATGTCTCTCAATGAAAATTATGTATTTTCTAATTATACACAGATACTTATTTATACAATATAATAATTTATTTAAATCCTAGGTCCTAGCCTACTATCCGACTAACGCCTAACGTATTTTAAGACATTGGCCGATAATCACCCACCAAACCACACACAACCTCGTCTGCGGCCATCCTTGCAATTTTTGCTACTAAATCCTAGCTGGGGGAGCACACTAATCAACAACGCAATCCAAATCAACGCACCATACTTTTGAAGGAACTGAAATCTTTGGCTTTCTTTGGTTTTTTAGAAATTGTGGCTATCCTCAAGAACCGAAAAAATGAATTATGGCTATCCTCAAATTCCAGAAAGAAAGAACTGTGGCTAATCCTCAGATTCCAAAATACAAGAAATTTGTTGATGGGCTAGATCCATCATATAAGGGTTTTTGAAACAACTCTTCTCTAATTTGAAGAGAGGAAGAGAGAGAAATGGTGAAGAGATAAGCTGCGCCGCCGATAAAGAGCTTCGAGGACGACGGGTGGGACTAGTTGGGGGATGGATGTTCGGTAGTTCAGCGGATGCTATTGTTTTTCTTTAATTTTTTAGTTTTTTTAAATGTTAACACCGTTGAATTGTGTTAAGTTGAAGCATAAGTGTCACAAAGTTAGAAAGAAGACACGACGAAGACACTAGTTCTGGGAAATCAGACTCCTGGCCCCTCAATTTGTTTTTATTTATTATATTAAAATTAATGGAAGGTTACATTAAGAATGGTTTCTCCCCCTTTAAGGTCGCGACTGTAGCATCTAAAGAATGTTTAGGGGAAAGAGGAGCAAAGAGAGGATTACAAAATTTAATCATTGAGAGCGACTACCATATTGTTACAATGTTAAAAGAGCCTTCCATCAATTTGTCCGACATTGGGCCAATCCCAGTATAGAAGATACTAAACTAATGATGACTACAATTACCAGAGTTTATCCTTCGTTGACCCTAAAAACTATTTGGGCCTAAACACCTTCCCATATGTGCCTTTTAGTCACTGACATAATCCATCGGCTAGCTCAATTTGCCCTTCACAGTAGTCGTTTTTGTTGTTAGTTAAGGATTCTAGAAATCAGAAACTTTATTTTTTTGTCCCCTCATTTCTGGCTTGTTAATACAAGCTATTGTTGCATATAAAAAATAACAAACTTAGATGATACAAAACTATTACAATAACTTAGATAAGGAGGGATGTTCGAACTTGAAACGCAAGGTAGAAATCAACTTCCAATCCACTTGGATATTGGATCACATGCATTATGTGAAACCTCATCCTAAACTATGTAATTTTATATTCACAAATTTATAAAATTACCATTTTTACCCCTTATCCCCCACCTTACCCGGATCCCCCAATCCATTTTTGGGATTTTCTTATCCCGCTTTATTATTTTATAACCTTCTCTCTCCCTCACTTCTCACTTCCTCTCTTTTCCTCCACCCTCCCATGCACTCTCTCTGTCAACCCTCCCTCTCTCCTTGGAGTTTTACTCACATAAAGACAACAACAACCCCAAACCTCATCACTGGACGTAGAGGTCAGAACCCCACAATCCACGCCGTGGAACCCCATATTGACGGTGTCACTGTTCATCTTCTTTCCTGACGTGTATCGTAATTTTCCGATGTTGGTAAGCTTCTAGAAACTCTTGGGATGTTCTTTAGGGTTAGATCGAAGCTTTTTTAAGTTGTGTTTACGTGTGGATCGCATAAAATAGCTCGAAGTAGCTTTTCCAAATTTTTTGGCAAACACCGCCCCTTTCCAGGCAGTTTTGGGCCAAACTACAGCGAGTTAGCCATTGTGCAAGGTATCAATCTCTTCATCTCGTCGAGTACTACAACTTTCATTTTTGGATCACTTGGTTTGGTTAAGTAACGAAGAAGTTATGGGTGTTTGAAGTGGTGTCCAAAAACCGGCCAATTCATTAGCCTAAAAACGGGTTAACCCGACCCAGATCCTTTGAACCGAGCCTAAAACTCGGCAGCCCAACCCAAATCCGGACCCAGGTTGGGACTCGGGCCAACCTTGCAGCCCAACCCAAATCCTTAGGCCAAGCCTTTAGGCCCGAACCCAGGCTTTAGGCCCAACCCAAATTCCAAACCCATGGACCCTAGAAACTTTTTTGGACCCA